TGGTATTAGCCAAACTTTTTCTGATTATCCTCTTCCGATGACTTCACCTAGATGTCTTTACCTGCATTGAACTATCCTGCAACCTAGCCAGGGAGAGATATTCTTTCAAAATTATTTCTTCTATCAAATGTGAAGCAAGAGAGAGTAAATATTTTGTTTTTCTGGTAACTTTCATTAATCCTCTCTCTTCCTTCCACCTATATATTCTCATCCTTTGGCTTCAATACAAGGTTAAGATTTTTAACCCAAGAGCAATTATTTGGTAAAACAAACAAAAGCAGAAAAAAACAAAACAAAACAAAAAACTTCATTTGATTGCCTTTGCATACCACCCATACCAAAAGTCTTGACTCCGAGTCACAGAATAATAACTAATAACTATGGAGAGTGTGCAGTTCATACTGAATCACAGGACAGTGGAAAATACAGAGTGATAGTGGACTGTAAATCAGAAGTTATGAATCTGAATGGTGTGAAGGGGACCAAATGATTTGTTCCTGTTTACATTTCTCTATTAGCTTAATTATTTGCTCAGGTAGAAGGTAGGAGGAAATGTATTAACTTTTATCTATCCCCCACAGGGACTCAAACTTTTACTCACTTTCTGAAGTTGACTGAGATAACTTTCTTGGGATTGATTTTTTTTAGGTAAAACAACAACAACAACAAAAAACCCCAAAACACTAAGGATAATAATAGCTATCAAATTGTGTCATTGCAACAATAAAATGAGATGTTATCCCTGTTATACATAAACTGTAGTAAAGTTATTTCAATCTTAACCTAATTGTGCCAGTTGTCATCATATGTCCTTGGACTTCAGGTTTTACCTGTAACCTTAAAAAGGATCTTAGCAGACATAAAACTGTTCTAGAGAACATGTTTAAAATACAGATTTCCAAATCCGTCCTCAGAGATGTGGCAATGTGCCTAGCATGTGTCCTGGAGACCCACATTTAGCAATACCTCCAGAGGAGAATACTCCCAAAGGTGGGCCATATATCACACTTTGATGAATATGGATTAAATGATCACTAACATCTTTTATGGTCTAAAAAGCATGCATGTATAAATGTATATTTTTAAAATCTTATTACATTTTCTATGGTAAATAACCTAATTATGAATGAAGCTACTATGAACATGTCTTTTGGTTGATATAAGCCCACATGTTTCACGAGTATATACCAATGAGTGAGATAACTAGGTTATATTTCCCTAGGTATTTGACAATTTGGGATGTTAGGCATACTTTAGCTTTCACAGGTATTCAAATGGACTGTTATTCAAATGGACTGTGACAACTAACAATCCTTTGATTGATAGATAGAGAATAGATACATAATAGACTAGTGATAGATAACTATAGTTGAATATATATGTAGACTAAAATCCTATATAATAAAAGCCTAATATGCAAATCGACCAAACAGCAGAACGACTGGTCACAATGACATGCACTGACTACCAGGGGACAGATGCTCAATGCAGGAGCTGATCCCAGCCCACAGGCCCCAGGCCAGCCAAGGCAGGTGCCAGTGGGGGCCTCCAGATTACCCTGCTGGTCACCCCACAAATCGGCCCTGATCACCGGCCAGGCCTAGGGACCCTACCCGTGCATGAATTTTGTGCACCGGGTTTCTTGTAGATATATAATATGTCAAATGTAATATCTCACTATAAGACTTTGAGTTACTAAATGTCCTTACCAACACTTAATATTTTCAAACTTTTTATTTTTTCTATCCTGATGGCTGTGTAAAAGTGCTCATTATGGTTTCAATTTCTATTCCCTGGAAACTAGTGACATTAAACATTTTTTTTCACATATTTAGAGAACATTTAAAAGTACCTTCTAAACTAGAAAAGGCAGTGTTTTGAATGCCTACTTAGTCCTTTGCCCATGTTTTTCATGCCCTTTTGTAATTGATTTCTAGTGGTTCTTTATATATTCTGGAGATTTTTTTTGGAGATTATATATATACTAGAGGCCCGGGGCACAAAAATGTACAAATGACACAAAATCTCTGAATTTACAATTGATTAACATTCCTCTTATGGCACTGTTTGCTGAAGATTGAGAAGACCCTGGCAGTGTAGAAAATTTTAACTGCCTCTGATTTTTTTCCTGTTTCTTTCACTGAGAATAGGGGCTTTAAAATGAATACCTTTTTTATTTGTTCCTGAGGTCAGGCTGAGTGATATGACATCTCTGATGTTAGTATATCACATTTAAACAACTTTACTTTCTGTATAATATTCAAAACAGTATGAATTCATTCCATATTTAGTTGAGGCAGTTAACAGTAAAAAAAAAAATGAGACATTGGCAATTGGGTATTTAGTGCAGTGGATAGAGATGCATGTGGTTTAGAAACAGATTTGAGTTTGAATTCTTGCTTTGTCATTTACTTACTCTGTCATAATGAGCACATTTATTTCCACTAAACAACTTCTTTATCTAGAAAAGAAATGGTAAATGGTATTTGTGGATTTAATGATACAACCTGACAAAAGCACTTAAAGTAGTCCACATCACATAGGTTTTCAATGTAGTTAATGGTGGTATTAGCCAAACTTTTTCTGATTATCCTCTTCCGATGACTTCACCTAGATGTCTTTACCTGCATTGAACTATCCTGCAACCTAGCCAGGGAGAGATATTCTTTCAAAATTATTTCTTCTATCAAATGTGAAGCAAGGGAGAGTAAATATTTTGTTTTTCTGGTAACTTTCATTTAATCCTCTCTCTTCCTTCCACCTATATATTCTCATTCTTTGGCTTCAATACAAGGTTTAGATTTTTAACCCAAGAGCAATTATTTGGTAAAACAAACAAAAGCAGAAAAAAACAAAACAAAACAAAATACTTCATTTGATTGCCTTTGCATACCACCCATACCAAAAGTCTTGACTCCGAGTCACAGAATAATAACTAATAACTATGGAGAGTGTGCAGTTCATACTGAATCACAGGACAGTGGAAAATACAGGGTGATAGTGGACTGTAAATCAGAAGTTATGAATCTGAATGGTGTGAAGGGGACCAAATGATTTGTTCCTGTTTACATTTCTTTATTAGCTTAATTATTTGCTCAGGTAGAAGGTAGGAGGAAATGTATTAACTTTTATCTATCCCCCACAGGGACTCAAACTTTTACTCACTTTCTGAAGTTGACTGAGATAACTTTCTTGGGATTGATTTTTTTTAGGTAAAACAACAACAACAACAAAAAAAACCCAAAACACTAAGTATAATAATAGCTATCAAATTGTGTCATTACAACAATAAAATGAGATGTTATCCCTGTTATACATAAGCTGTACTAAAGTTATTTCAATCTTAACCTAATTGTGCCAGTTGTCATCATATGTCCTTGGACTTCAGGTTTTACCTGTAACCTTAAAAAGGATCTTAGCAGACATAAAACTGTTCTAGAGAACATGTTTAAAATACAGATTTCCAAATCCGTCCTCAGAGATGTGGCAATGTGCCTAGCATGTGTCCTGGAGACCCACATTTAGCAATGCCTCCAGAGGAGAATACTCCCAAAGGTGGGCCATATATCACACTTTGATGAATATGGATTAAATGATCACTAACATCTTTTATGGTCTAAAAAGCATGCATGTATAAATGTATATTTTTAAAATCTTATTACATTTTCTATGGTAAATAACCTAATTATGAATGAAGCTACTATGAACATGTATTTTGGTTGATATAAGCCCACATGTTTCACGAGTATATACCAATGAGTGAGATAAATAGGTTATATTTCCCTAGGTATTTGACAATTTGGGATGTTAGGCATACTTTAGCTTTCACAGATATTCAAATGGACTGTTATTCAAATGGACTGTGACAACTAACAATCCTTTGATTGATAGATAGAGAATAGATACATAATAGACTAGTGATAGATAACTATAGTTGAATATATATGTAGACTAAAATCCTATATAATAAAAGCCTAATATGCAAATCGACCAAACAGCAAAACGACTGGTCACAATGACGTGCACTGACTACCAGGGGACAGATGCTCAACGCAGGAGCTGATCCCAGCCCACAGGCCCCAGGCCAGCCAAGGCAGGTGCCAGTGGGGGCCTCCAGATTACCCTGCTGGTCACCCCACAGATCGGCCCTGATCACCAGCCAGGCCTAGGGACCCTACCCGTGCATGAATTTTGTGCACCGGGCTTCTTGTAGATATATAATATGTCAAATGTAATATCTCAGTATAAGACTTTGAGTTACTAAATGTCCTTACCAACACTTAATATTTTCAAACTTTTTATTTTTTCTATCCTGATGGCTGTATAAAAGTGCTCATTATGGTTTTACTTTCTATTCCCTGGCAATTAGTGACATTAAACATTTGTTTTCACATATTTAGAGAACATTTAAAAAGTACCCTCTAAACTAGAAAGGGCAGTGTTTTGAATGCCTACTTAGTCCTTTGCCCATATTTTTCATGCCCTTTTGTAATTGATTTCTAGTGGTTCTTTATATATTCTGGAGATTGTTTTTGGAGAATATATATATATATATTTCTCCCAGCTTGCAGCTTGCATTTTCATGTTACTAATGTTGTATTTTGGAAAAAAAAGTTTTTTATTTTAATTTTAATAAGTCCTATTTTACGGTTAGTACATTTTATTTATTATTTTAAACAACTTTGATGTGTTGGAGGTTAGTAGAATAATATTCTTTGTTTTATTTTGTAAGCTTTATTTTTTCATGTTTTACCTTTAGGTCTGTAGTCCACCTCTAATTAAATATTGTGGATGGTCTGAGGTAGGAGTCAAGATTATTTTCCACACAAATAGTCAGGTTCTCCAGAACTTGCTGAAAGTGCTATCCACGTCTCACTGAAACACAGTAGCACCTAAAACAAGTGACCTTAAAGTGTGGGACATAAAAATAAATAAAAACTCTAATTCTTTCCATTGATCTTAATTTCTATCCTTTAAAATTTTTTTCTGTCTTTTAAAACATTATTCTAAATTATTTTGATTATTCTTTTAAAGAATACTGTATTAATTTTTAGAGGAAGAGGAAGGGAGGAGAGAGAAACATCCATGTGAGAGCATAATCGTCTGCCTCCCCAACTTCCTCCACCAGGGATCAAGCCTAAGACCAAGGCATATACCCTCACTGGGAATCAAATCAGCAACCTCCCTTTCTCTATTTTCCTTGGTTACTCTTTAAACATATTATTTTTAAAAATTACAGTTGATATACAATATATTAGTTTAAAGCATACAGCATAATGATTAGATATGTCAATAACTTATGGGTTGATCACCCCAATAAGTCTAGTACCCATCTGACACCATACATATTTATTGCAATATTATTTACTATATTCCCTATGTTGTACTTTATGTCCCTCTGACTGTTTCTATAACTGGCAATTTGTACTTCTTAATTCCTTCCCCCTTTTCACCCATCCTGTAGCCCCCTTCCGTCTGGTATCCATCAAAATGCTCTCTGTATCTGTCTGAAATATAGTGCTGTAAGTTCTCCAGTCTTGTTTCTCTTCAAGATTGTTTTGACTCTTTTTGGTGCTTTGACTTTCCATCCTATATAATAAAAGCCTAATATGCTAAGTGTCCGGTCATCAGGTGGGCAGTTCAACCAATCAAAGCATAATATGCTAATGATATGCTAAGGCTGCTCAACTGCTCGCTATTCCGTCTGGTATCCATCAAAATGCTCTCTGTATCTGTCTGAAATATAGTGCTATAAGTTCTCCAATCTTGTTTCTCTTCAAGATTGTTTTGACTCTTTTTGGTGCTTTGACTTTCCATCCTATATAATAAAAAACCTAATATGCTAAGTGTCCAGTCATCAGGTGGGCAGTTCAACCAATCAAAGCATAATATGCTAATGATATGCTAAGGCTGCTCAACTGCTCGCTATAATGTGTACTGACCACCAGGGGGCAGACACTCTGGTATGTTAGCTTGCTGCTGGGGTCTGGCCGATTGGGACTGAGGAAGATGGGGCAGACACACCCTGGATCCCTCCCACGGTATCTCCCCAGCCAGCCAACCTCCTGCGTCCCTCCCCAGCCCCGAAAGATGGGGCAGACACACTCTGGATCCCGCCCACAGTACATCCCCAGCCGTCCAACCTCCTGTGTTCCTCCCCGGCCCTGTTTGTGCACCAGTGGGGTCCCTCAGCCTAGCCTGCGCCCTCTCACAATCCAGGACCCCTCGGGGGATGTCAGAGAGTTGGTTTCAGCCAGACGGCGAAACAACCGGTCACTATGATGCGCACTGACCACCAGGGGGCTGGCACTCAATGCAGGAGCTGCCCCGTGGTGATCAGTGTGCTCCCACAGGGTGAGCTCTGCTCAGTCAGAAGCCGGGCTCACGACTGGTGGGTGCAGTGGGCTGAGGGACCCTCACCCGAGTGAGTGAATTCCATGCGCTGGGCCTCTAGTTAAATATAATTAAAATCAGCCTGTAAATTTCACACACACACACACACACACTCATATCCCTCTGCTTTCATTCTGATTGAGTTTTACTAAATCTCTAGATCTATTTGAGAGAATTAACATTACAATTTTTGAAACTTTGAATTCACAAATAGTGTATATTTCTTAACTTATTTGGATCTTAAAGACTTCTCAGCAAGAGTTTTTGTTTTCAGTAGAGAAAACTTACACATCATTCATTAGATTTCCCTAGGCATTTGACAGTCTGGAATGTTAGTGTAAATTTACATTTAAAATATAAACTTTACATTTTAATTTTCTATTTTTTTGTTAAACATTAGCAGCTTTGTCATTTGCACATAGTCCTTGTTAAAATCATAAATAGCTATATTTAATTCAACCACAGTGCCAATTATACTGCTTTGTAAACTTTTAGCATCTAAACTCTTACTGCATATCTGACATACAATATATTGCAAAAGTCACCCTTTTTTTTTACATGCAACTTTATATATTCTGGTTGATTCCTACACATAAATCTTTTCCATAAAATACAAGTTTCATGAGGATAGTAGTCACAAGTTGTGTTTCTTAAAAAAATTTTGCACCTGACCCGGCATAATTTTGAGTATGTAATGATCTTTTCTGAGTTCTTAGATTGTAGTACATGGGTGCAGGGCCTGATGTTCACTTTCATCCACCAGGGAAGGCATATTTTTTTTCAATATATCTTTTCCTTCTGAGGCCATATGGGCTCTCAGACTCTCACAAAATTGCTTCTAACAATTAATTGAGTTGGCATGTAAAATAGAACTAATTTGTAATCTCTGATTTAAACCTTCAATAAAAATTCTACAAAAAAATGAGTGAAGTTTAGATATTGTAAATTTCTTATTTTCTCTAGCTGGCCTTCTAGAAGTTAGTGAACATACTCTATTATAATTAGGGTTATTTATAATATATAGGGTTCTTTATTATAATATATGTATATACTTTTCATTTTACATGTATACATTCACATAAGTAACATTTTTAAATATAATTTAATTTACTTTATTATTTGGATGGCCACCTTGAAAATAAAGAAGATAAAATATGGAATTGGACCTTTTACATAAATTAGATAAAGATATTTTGGACCAAATAATATCATGTTTTACAAAATAAAAGTTTCAGGAGTTAGTTTGAATACAGAAAATCAATGAGAATACATGAGACATATAGCACATGATTACGTTTACAAAAAACTTTTAAAAATGCCAAAAATATAAACTGTAATGCCCATAGTATAGCTATCAAAATCCAATATGCCCTATGTTCAAAATTAGCTACATAGGAGGATAAAACAAAACTGGATTTTTCCAATTTCCAAGGAGAGGCTGAGCAGCCATAAAATTAGTTATATAGGAGGGTAAAACAAAACTGGATTTTTCCAATTGCCAAGGAGAGGCTGAGCAGCCATATACCTCATTTTTATTGTTGTTGTTGTTGTTGTTGTTGTTGTTGACACTATTACAGATGTCCTCCATTCCTCTCTTTCCCCATTTTTACCCACTTCCACCCAGCTCCTGTCCCCCTTCCCTCTGGCCATCACCACACTGTTGTCTGGGTCCATGGGCTATGCATATATGTTCTTTGGCTTTTATGGGATTGGAGTACATAACATCTGCCTCTTAGTCTCTGATTTTATAATTGTATAGTAATGTAGAGTGAGCACTCCCAGATGGAATTCAGGAAAGAAATGTGTGTGTGTGTGTGTGTGTGTGTGTGTGTGTATAGAGTAAGAAATTGTGCTGTGTTGCCGAAACCGGTTTGGCTCAGTGGATAGAGCGTCGGCCTGCGGACTGGAGGGTCCCGGGTTCGGTTCTGGTAAAGGGCATGTACCTGGGTTGCGGGCCCATCCCCAGTGGGGGATGTGCAGGGGGCAGCTGATCGATGTTTCTCTCTCATCGATGTTTCTAGCTCTCTATCTCTCTCCCTTCCTATCTGTAAAAAAATCAATAAAATATATTTAAAAAAAAGAAATTGTGCTGTGTTAACTGTTTTTACTGTATCTCTATGAAAACTTGAGTCTCAAGCAGATAGGATTCCCCTAGTCTTGATATTGCCATATATTTATCAGCATCGAAAGTGACATGTAGTTATGCTTATCCATGCAATTTTAACCATGCTTGATGTCTCTAAAGCTCTAAAAAATAGCATCAATATCATTGTGTGATTCCTAAGAATGAAGGAGCTGGAAATAATCTGTAGCCTGTTTGGACAGTGGAATAATATTTGGATTGTGTGTGTGTGTGTGTATTTATATAGTAAGAAATTGTGCTGTGTTAACTGTTTTTACTGTATCTCTATGAAAACTTGAGTCTCAAGCAGATAGGATTCCCCTAGTCTTGATATTGCCATATATTTATCAGCATCGAAAGTGACATGTAGTTATGCTTATCCATGCAATTTTAACCATGCTTGATGTCTCTAAAGCTCTAAAAAATAGCATCAATATCATTGTGTGATTCCTAAGAATGAAGGAGCTGGAAATAATCTGTAGCCTGTTTGGACAGTGGAATAATATTTGGATTAATTCAATCTGACTTTGCCTGCTGCTATCATTTCGCTGCCATTTCACAGCATCAGATTTTTTGTAGAACTTTAAATTTTTATAGTAAAACCCTTATGACTCAGCTTGCCTTTGCTATTCACTTGTTCCAGGTGCAGTGTTGATATTCTCAGCCTGCAATGTGATCTTTACAAAGGCTTGGCTTTGCTTTCTTTTAACATGATCTATGAAATTGGACTGTGACTCAGGATGCCATAACTCTCTGTCCCTGACCCAAGAACTCTCAGCATTCCTCACTTGGAATCAGTTTTCTTTCTGGTGGTTGCATTCCTGCTACCTGCATCCAGAAGTGGGATCTTCAAATCCTCAGGCAGGAAAAATCACTTTTTGCTCACATTTAGATTTGAAAATAAATTAATCTTTTCCTTCAATGAAATGACGCCTTTCCTGTGCTATTACTGACAGTTTCTACTACTTCAATTTTAGCCTGAAGCATAAATGTTTAACAACTTTATATGTAGTAAGGTGTTCATGAATGCTCCACTGCAGTTTATCTAAAAACAAAAGCAAAATGATATGTCTGCTATCAATAGAATAGTCATCTCTGGTAATTTACATGTTACATGCACATTGTGGAGAACATATTACATTATATTGCAGTAAGAGTCTGTTCTCCTGAGTTTCATCCTCGGCTTTTCTCAAAATTTGATGTAACACATTAAGTTAATTAACTTATCTGGGCTTCAGTTTTCTTGATTAAAGAATTAGCATTTACCTTAAATATCTCCAACATTGTTTATAGGTCTAGCAGTTCTCTTTGGACTATAATTATATACCTACATTAAATAATTATTATCTTCAATTCATAGCTTGGGACTTATTACCATACTAGAGGCCCGGTGCACAACATTTGTGCACTGGGGGCTAGGGGGATGGTCCCTCAGCCCAGCCTATACCCTCTCACAGTCTGGGACTCCTCGGCAGTCCTAGTGCTTTGAGCCCAGCTTCTGGCTGAGTGATGCTCCCCCTGTGGGAATGCATTGACCACCAGGGAGCAGCTCCTGTGTTGAGCATCTGCCCCCTGGTGGTCTGTGTGCATCATAGTGACTGGTTGTTCTGCTGTTTGGTCTCTTTGCATATTAGGGTTTTATTATATAGGATAAGCCTTCTAATTGAGCTTCTAGTCAGGGCCATATGGCTATTTCCATTCTATTTGGGGCTCTAGTTTGAGTGAGAAGATAACCACTCTCCAATCACAGGAGCCTGAAGCCTGACTCTAGAACCTTTGAAGCTTTGTTATGTTCCTGGTAGAGACACTTTTTGAAACCTGCGAGAGGAGGTGACATTTCTAATGATTCTTAAAGTGTAAACTTTGGCACTAAGTATATTATGCTATTCAATACCTTTCCCTAAAGTTTATACTTAATGTAAGCAAGGTGCTGCTATTAAAACTTGCTTTGGGGTCAAAGGAGAAAGAGGAAATATCTCAATAAAAGTTATTTTTACATAAGGATGTCTATTGTTACTAGGAGAGCTTTTTAATACAGTGGGACAGTTCTTGAGAGTAAAAAAAGGTTTTTATTATATATTTTCCATCACAGTCAAACAAGCAGGGAGGAAGAAAAATATGAAAAATATTTAAATGTCTATTATTTTTGACACTGTGTTGATAAATTTAAAAAGAAGATTAAATATTACAGTAAAGAATGAGATTTTGTTTATGTAATCAGCAGACATGATTTTACTTCTTTACTAGAAATGCTTTTATTAAAAAAATTAAGTAATTTCTTAATACATTTTCATTGAGTCAGATAACAATATATATTCATTTACTTATTGTTGTATTGCTATTTTAGAGTATCATGAAATTCACACTCTTCAAAGGATTTCAAGATCACGGGATTCAATGCATGTAGTTTAGAAGCAGCAATGTTTCAGAGAGTTGCCTTTGAGTCCATGGGTTCATTTCCCACTTGTGAAATATTAGTCAAGAGATTGTAAACCTGAGTTTCCTCATCCATAAACTCTATGGAATATGATTGCTATTGTAATTGGTTAGTTAGATTTTCCAAAAGTTACAAAATACCTATTTCACTAGGTTAGATCTAAGGTCTCCTGAAATATAGTCATTGCATTTTTCACCACACAAAATTGCTTCAGATAAAATATAATGTGTGCATAGTTTTTTTTCCCATGTTTTCCTGATGCAATAATGCTATTTGATATATATATATGTTATGTAAATTTAAAAAGTCTAATATAGGGGGTAATGAGTGGGAAATTGGAGACATCTGTAATTCTATCAACAATAAAAATATATTAAAAATAAAGATAAAAAGTATAAAATGTTAATATTCATATCTAAAATATTTAATACCAATTAATTTTATAGGTAACAATTATAAATTTAATTAAGGAAATGGACATTTATAAAGTACTCACACTATATGCCAAAGAAATAAATTATTTTTCTCCTTTCTCTTTAATAAACAATTAGGTAAATACAGTTTTGTTCATTTTATAGATGGGTAAGGTTCTCTGAGATATTAAATAGAACTCTCAAATTTAACTAACCTGTTAGAGAGAAATCAGGACTCACAATTTAAATATGTTATAAATTTAAAATCTATGCTGATCAAATCTAAACACTTGTCACCCAAAATGTTCATATATATGTGTGTGTGTATATACATACATACACTAGAGGCCCAGTGCACAAATTCGTGCACGGGTGGGGTCCCTCTGTCTGGCTGACAATTGGGGCCTATCGGGGCAAATCAGGGCTGACCAGCCAGGGGGAGGGACCGCAGGAGGTTGGCCGGCAGCAGGAGGTTGGCTATGGGAGCGCACTGATTACCAGGGGGCAGCTCCTGCATAGAGCGTCTGCCCTCTGGTGGTCAGTGCACGTCATAGCGACCAGTCAACCAGTCATTCAGTTGACAGGTTGACACAGATAACAGAGGGAAGCGGGGGGACAAGGTCTGGGTGGAGGTGGAAAAGTGAATGGGGACATTTATAATAGTGTGAACCATAAAGTTGAAAAAATAAACACATATTACTAATAGTTTATTTAATCCTCACAATAACCGGATGATATAAATATTATATCTCCTTCAATATGTGGCACAGTAACACCAAATACTTGTTTGAAATCACAAACTAATTAGTTTGAGACAAGATTTAAGTCCTGGCCATCTGGCTCCACAGTGCATGCTCTTAGTTCCTGCTATTTATTTACAGTTATTGAGTTCCTAAAATAAGGGCTTCTCAAAGCACTGAAAAGGCATTCATTCAGTGCAAGTTCTCTGGAAAATCTTTCCTTCTCCTACATTCCTAGGAGGCATGACTTGATCTATGTAACATAAATACAATTATAGAAAGTTAAACATCACAAAATTATAACCACACTTGGGTGAAAGTGGTGGTGCTCTGGACATTTCATTTTATGATACAGCATTTCCATGTGTGAAAGGTCATCCTCATGACTGTGGAGGGTAGATTAGGGAGGGATTGTCTGGAGACTGGAAAACGGATTAAGGGGTATTATAATTGTTAATGTAATAAGCTAATGGGGCCAGAACTAGGGGAGATACTGTGAGTCAGAGCCAGAAAAATAAAGCTTTGTAATAGTCATATTGGTGCTGAGCTTTCAAATCCAAAAATGCAAAAAATGAAGAACAGGTCAACTTAATGTTATATTTGCATAGCCATTTTCTCTAACTAACTCTGCCTCTCTAACTCTGGAGTCTGGGGAAGAATATTGGAGCAAACCAAAAGGCTTTCTACCAATTAACTTATTAGCAACATACGGTTAGCCCAAACAGATGAAGACTCCCCATTTATCAATTCAGTATCCTGGGTGAGTTCATAACTTATATGCAATGCTATAATGTCCTAAGTTTAATGCTAGCCTTTGAGGCACATTCAGGAATGGAAAGATAGAGAATAAAAAGACCTCTCTGGAAGTAAAAAAGAAAAGTTCCTTGCAAAGTTTTCTAATGTCATACTTTTCTGATGGATAGCTCATATACTATTAGTACTTTTTTTAAAAACTGGCAAATTTTAAGGCCATTGATGGGAGTGAAGATGATATAGATCTGTAAACTATGCTAACACTTTTTTTGTTTCCATCTCCCTAATCCCACATAAATAGTTCATTTCTCCAATTCACCTCCCACTCTAAAGTTATCTCGGAAAAAAAATGTGGCCACGCTACTCTTAAAAACCCATAGTATTCATCTCTGAAAACACACGCACACACATACTCACACACACATACACACGCACACACACACACACACACACACACACACACACACACACACAAACGCATTAATCACAGGTTTAAGCTGACCCCTCAGACAGGCAGAACAGACCCTTCAAAATGGGCCCTACTTCCTTTCTAGCCACATCTCTTACTGTCCTCATGTTTCAGGACAGAAAACTAGCTCTTTTGTCATCCACAGGACAAAGCCTTCCATGCATCCAGGCCTTTTGCATGCCGTTCTCTGAGTGGAATGCCTTCTTGTCATCCCACGTGAGGAAAAATAACTGGAACTTTTCCTAGACAAGAATGGACGAGCTGGATAAAGCTCCCTATAAAGAGAATATATTTTTAAAACACCCATGAGACCCCAAGTTTTCACTTTATTTCCTAACATGGACTATGTAGCAGTTACAAGGCACATACCCCACAAAAGCCAGTCCCAACACAATGAGTTTACACATTAGAGTAAGCCATATGTTTGAATAGTAAATCCAGGCTCTTTGATTTTCTTACACCTCAGTGCTTGGTTAAGTGTATTTTTATCAGTAACCTACTCAAGGGAGGGACAACAACTTAAGGTGTGTGTCCTTGGGGTTCACTATGAGTCTCCAATTGACTGATCTCAGTGTGAAAATCTCAGCTTAGTGCTGAATTCCCTTCTCTATATGGGTCAGCTGTTACTTTAAATTTGTCATCCAAAGCCTCTGAATCTCAGTTTCTTTGTATAATGTACATTAGTGATACTTAAGAGTTGTCCATTATGATACCCATCACTTTTTTGGTCATTAATAAATTATAACAATACAGATGCTATTGACAGTGGGATGAGACTCCAAGAATGTTGACCAGTTGTCAAAAAATGTATGGGTATTCATTTTACTAGGAATATCAAAGAACTATCAGTTTGGCTTTTTCCTGGAAAAACAAAACAAAATTTTTACAGTGTAGTCTTTAGTTCCCTCTCTTATGTTCCATATCCTATCCAAAGAAAGAAGAGGAATGTACTTTACCAAGAATTCCACCAGGAATACACTATCCTGCTTATCTGCGGCATGGCAATTTACATTTAGAACCCTGGAACTCTCCAGTAATCTTGAGCCATAAATGTGGAGCCAAATATAACTGGATCAGTAGATTATAAAAAAAATTGATATTAAGAGAGAGGGTCACATTTAATATTCTTAAAGCAACACGGTGTGTAAATGGTGGCTAGAAAGAGAGGGACAATTCAGATATGCTTTAATATAGCCTTAATAAATCCAAATATCTATTCTGATTTTTGTCAGGATAATTCAGTTGTTGATCCCTTTAGGAAAATTAACTGTGTTGGGATATTCTGTCCATTTGGCATATGGAATTTAGGGTGAAATAAAAAATAAGTATAAGGGAGAAGTATCTTTAGAACATTTTTAAATATCGAGATAATAAAAATAGTTTAAACGACACATGTGTAATAGGGTTCAGTGGATGTCTTATTAAAGCATAAATTCATATACAGTAACAACTATTATGACTAGTGTCTGCAAGCCTTTCATTCATGACTTCTAATTAATGTAGAATTTAATTTAATTGACTTACTAAATTAACTGCAGTAGAGATTATTGCTAAGGTTTTGGTATAAATAGATTATTTGAAAATACAGTAACAGTTTTGTAAACTTTCTGTAAAGGAAATATTTAATATCACTTATAAAGCCCTAAAGTCAGAAAAAGAATTATCATTTAGAATAAAAAGTTTATGTAAATAAATCAATTAATATAAATGAACAAAATCAACTATACTTGCATTTTGGTAAGCATTATAAAAGTGTCAAACACTTTTAACAAGTAGCAATAAATAACTGACATTTTATTATTAAAATGAAATATAAGAAGACAAAGTAAAACTAAAATGTACAAACTTGAGAAATTCATTTGTATTGTCAAGGAATACCCTGGGGCCTCAGTATGTCTTACAAGTATTTTTCAAATGTTAGCATAAAAATTATTTGAAATGGATATATATCTGCTTTTTTCTATGATATCATTCTCATGGATTCCTTCAAAAAACTTCCTAATATATACCAGGAAATATAAATATTGGAACATTACATGACTGAGGAGATTATAATGTCTGGAATTAATATGGATTGATGTATTTGGTGGTAAAATAGTATTTATTAAAACAAGAATTCATAAATTTAAAATTCTAATCTTGTTTGAAGATGTTAACTGTCTAATCTTAAGAGGATTTAAAGTCTCAGTTAATTAAGCCTTTGGTATGATCTTGAAGTTACTTGCAGTAATGAAAGAAATGTTGTGTCTTTTCTATACAAAAGCTGTTTAAACTGGTCTGCAAGAAAAAGAAAATGTTGGTAAGTCTTTATTGGGGACGTCCCTTGATTTCATTAGTCTAAACAGACAAAAATGCAAGAGAATACTTGTAAGAAATTCTATTATTGTTTCCATTCTACTTTTAAATGTTTTAATCAACTCATATATAATTCATTTGTAACACTTATTCAGCAAACTCAGTGTGGACAGTTTAGAAAATCAGCTGTGTATTTAATAAATTAAATCTGCTTAAATATGGAATTAGTTATCCAAGCTTGAGAAATTCCCATTAACTCAGAAAATTGGAATGATATATACTGTAAAAACAAAAAAGCCAGAACATTTTTAGACTTGATTATTTTTCCAAAGAGTCTCACATTTTACCTTTGTGTATACCTTACATAACCACAGGGATTGTCATAATCTTCCATGTGTTTAGAAAACTAAGAATAGTAATGTGTAAATGGTCACCCATAGTCTTCTGGAGGAATGGCTGGGAGAAAGCAATATTTAATTGCCCTCAGACCACTGGAATCCCACCAACCAGTAATTGATAACACCCAGGTGACCAGAAATATCCTATGGCAATTTATCACTGTTAGTATTTATCTATAGGATTTTAGCAAAATAAGATAAATACATACATTTATAAACTCTGTGAGAATTCATAGCTTTTAGAGGATAAGATCTCTTTATTCAGAATTTCCAGTAGGGAGCATGGAGGGCTTTTAGCATTGAAGTGAACTAAAAATTAAGTCTATGGAGCATGCTTAACTAATGCAGCTCTAAACACAATTTAATTAGTCAATTGCCTAATAAACACCGGAATTCATAAACAGTGCACATCTGAGTATGTTGAGTAAAAGTTTCAAATTGCCGACATTCATAAGGGATGATTGAAACATCATTAAAGATATGTAAATACAAAATCATTTCATTAGAATTTTGAGGAGGAAAAAGGTAATTAAACAAATAATTGAGAAGTGATATTAAGTATGTTCTCATTTGAAATATGTTAATGATATTTTTCGAAAGATGATTGTCGTTCAAGTCCATTTAGCAGCCGAGCCGCAATCTAACTGGCTCTACCCTCTCTCCCTTTTCTGAATTTGGAATTACCTGGTAAGCACAATGTCAAGGAACTTGGAGAATTTCTTTGTTTGCCTGAGCTACTAGATTTTGAAAGAGGTGTTTGGCAGACAACCCAATCATTATTGTAAA